GCGAAATAGGCGTCTCCAGGGCTGCTTGTCAATTTATACTAGTTAGCAATCTAGTTATCTTATCTATATCTGTGGGTATTGCCATTGATTATAGATAGTACTATCTATAATCAATGGTATTGCTGACTGTCTTTTAGAGAACCCGTGATTATTATTTGTTGTTTTTAAAATAGATAACATGAACAGCCACGTATTACCACGAGCTGGTTTGTGGTCATAACCAGGGGCGGTCTGGCCCGGGTGGAGAGGCGGAGATAAACGCCTGGGCCGGTAGGATTATGAATAATTTGGGCTACTACTATCATCTGTTTATATCATAAGGGAATATTGTTAGTTTTTTGTTACGAAAAATCGTATCTTAGACAAAGACAATACAATAACTATTTAGTATCATTGTAATTTAAACGCAACAGAAATTATTGTAAGAATATATATATATATATATATATATAAAATGTAAACAATGTTGACTTATGGTTAAAATTACATTAGAAAATATTATTCAAGATTAAAATTATGTTATAACGATAATATGTTCATCAGCAGGCAGCAGCTTTTTATTACAAATAATACTATTAATAACCGAAAAAATACGTAGTATGTACGTATCATGTAGATACGGCCGTCAGCCACCATACATAATTAATTATCGATATCAATTAAACTTCATCAGATATTTTTTGTTTAGTTGTTTTATATTTAAAAATTATTATTAAACTATTACGTAATAATAAAAATAAAAATTAATAATATTAAGAATTCAATGTTTAAAAAAACAGTTAAAGAAGGTGGAGCTGAAAAGTACTGCATAAAACGAGCTGCTGAATTACTGAGTTTTGGAAATGACAAAAATCAGCGAAAGCTTAACTTTTTAAAATTAAATATAAGATATTGGCTGTTTTTTTTTTATATATTATTAAATACTAATTTGACTATGCACCCAAATTTAAATTCTGAGTGTTTCTTATACTTCAGCTTTACTTAGAAGTCACAATCGTTTTACTATCAAAAGTTCAAGTATAAAACTTATTTATATTTTTAATACAACATTTTCTTTAGGACCATACAAACAGTAATATAAATGAAATAGTTAAAGTACCAATGATTTATAATGTAGATGAACATTTCAATAATGATCAAGAAGTGAGTTTACCTATGTTTTAACATAATTCAATCATAGATAAATTAATTAAAATTAGTTACATAGGTGTATACCTACATACTTACATATTATTATTAAATAATTTTAATTATTAAATATACCTATATAGGAAATACCTATTATTTATATACTGAAAAAATTGTTTAGGAAAAATATTTGTGTTAATATTTGTAACTCAATCCCACTTGAAAAAATTAAATTTTAATAATTTAGTTACCTACATTATATTTTGAAATAAACTATTTAAAAATTTTAATTTAATAATTACTTAGTATTACATTTTTTTAAACTTTAACACGGAAATTTGTTTGTCAATCCTTGCAAAACGAGCAGAAAGTAAAAAGATTTTGAATAATGAAATTTAGACATAGTTTTGTAAAAATACTATAGTTTTAGTTCTGTGCTCTAATGTATTAAGTATTTTTATGTTATTCTATTTGCACCGCAGTGCAACATTGCTTATAGAAATATCTAAATATTTTCTTTTGATGATGTATAAAAGTGAAAAAAAAAATTCTATAACTTAATGAATTTAATGAATTTTAGAAATTGTTAAAATAAAAATTAAATAGGTACATAGATATGATAAAAAAAAAAATTGAAAATTTTCGTTAGTTGAACAGCAATTGTATAAAAAAATGTTGGGCCGGTCATATCTTTTTCCACCTGGGCCGAAGTACCCTCAGTCCACCTCTGGTTATAACAGTTTATTTACAAAATGTTATAGGCCGTCGAATGAAATAAAGACCCACGTTATCTAAGTGATATCTACAAAATGTATTGGTTTGTAAAAATACATATATTGTCTATCGTCCATAAACCTTATGTTCTTGTCTAGTAATTTTTCTGTAATATGTTACTGAATACTGTACTGTTTATCTTTCACCACTTACATAGTACCTATTCAATAACAAAAAATACACAATAAATACACAGAGTAGCCCAGTGGGCATTTGCTCACCTGCCCACTGGACCAATCCACCACTGGTCAGAGTAGGCACTTAACTACTCTGTGAACCTTCCCTCCTTCACCAGAAAATTCAATATTATCACAATAATAAATAACCATATAATGTTCAACCACTTCGAAACGTCCGTAAACAGTAAATACATGTATAAAAATAGAAAATAATAAAATATTATTATTATTTTTTTTTATATTTATTATTTATTTATTTATTTTTAAAATAATTATTTATTTAAATAATTTTCAAATACAATTATTCAAAATAATTTTTTTAGTCCTGTTTTCATATTTATTTTATTGTATTTATATTGACATACCTATTGTTTCAATAACCCTGAACTACATAACAAGTACAATGAATATATTAAATGGATATTTTTCGTAAACAAAACGTTAATAATAATTATTATTCATTAAAACCAATACCACTAAAATATTTTTCTACATTTTAAATAACATATTGTTTTACAACTGATCGAATTAACTTAAGCGAGTGTGTTTCCCAATTTTTTTTAGGTCTTAATACAATCAAAAAAACCTAAAAACTAATAAAATTTAAATAAAAAATGTAAGTATTTAAAAATTTAAAAATTAAAATCAATAATAAAAGCATAAATTAGAATAGTCACATTATGAATAATTTAAAATCAAAATGTTTATAATAATATGTTTATTCCAGTAATTATTAATTTGATATTATTATCAAATTTTATTATCTTATGTTTTATTAGAAATTATTAGGAGTTACCTAGAGCAAAAACCCAGATAAATTTAAATTGAATCCGCTGTAAATTGTGTAAGTTATATACAAATTACGATGTATGACTCCATTTGTTGGTCAATTAAATTTAAAAAAATATTTTCAGCAAGGCTTGGCATCCGGATAATTTTTTCTGGTTTCGGGCTTTGGGTGTTGAATATATTAAGGTGGTGAAACAACGCAATACAACATTTAAATATACGTTTGGGTGTTAATAACCGTTATTATTCGGGTTAATATTGGTTAATACGGGTGTTAAGTAGCCAAGGAAAAATATTATTTTTTATTGGTGGAGGGTGATAGGGAGGCTGGCTCCCTTCACTAATAAAATATTTACATTTTTTTTACCTGTCTTTATAATAAAATATCAATTTCTTATACATTTGTACAAAAGTTTTTTAGACCAAACCATCATTATGTTAATTTCAAGCAATGGTGTAACTACGATTTATTCTCGAGGAAGAGGGGGTTATTTTATATGTGTATGAAGCTTATAAATTATAATATCTATTAAAATTAAAAATACTAACACTATGTCCTACTCCTTAAGGGTTAGGGGTTAACTAAATAACGGGGTTATGCCTGTTAGTGCGGGCATATCGCATGCGACAAAAAACAAACTATTTTGTATTCTGCGTTTGTATTTGTGGCATTGGCGGAAATCGGTGGGGAGGGGCTAAGCCCTCCCAGAAATATAAAGTACAGGTCTTAGCCCCCCTAGCCCTAAACATTTTTAAGTGATTAAAAATACAATAATTATTATAATTGTAAAATGCATTTTTAATAACTGAATCAAAAAAAAATATTCTGTGATAAAAATTAAATCAAATTCGTAAGATTTTACAAACTTCTTGTCATGACTTGGAACGATCGCAATTAATGTAATATTAATAATATGTAATAATACCCGTATAGGTTGTTTAATTTAATTAATTAATAATATCTGTTTAGAATACCTACTCCAAAAATGTTTAAGGCACCTAATTGTTTTTTTTGTTTAAATTGTTGATTAAAAATGTCAAATTATCAAACTTCGTAAATTGCCACGTTGAAATAAATAATTGCACACAGTGGTATCTATAGATGTAATAAGCAAATAATCCTCAACCCCCACAAATTTCACCAAATTTCCTCTTATGGTTTGTGGTGCGTGTATACACTAAAAACGCACTAGCTAAGACATAAATACAAAAATAATAATAATTTATACTTATGAATATTACGATGAAATTATTACACCAACAAAAATTAACAATTCACGCCTTAGACATGAATACTACACGCCATACACTGAATAAATACGAATAACGTGAACAATAATTTAGGTAATCGTACGCGAGACATCAATTCTATTTCAGACTTGCAGTATTGCAATAAATAACGACTCGGTGATTCGTAGAAGACCTATTACCTATTAAATTATAATAATACGACGTATCCGCTTGGGATAATTTTAAAAATAGTATCACAGTTGTTTACACTCGAATATTCAACATACCATACAATTCATGCATACATGTCAATATGATATATTGCTATTGTCTTTATTTAGATAAATTTAGATTAATTAACAATTTTGTATATTATTTGTGAAATTATTCCTGTGAATAATAATTTTACTATTAAACAACTAATGACAAAATTGAAATAACCACAGAAAATACATACAAAATGATATGTCACATAAAGATTGTAAAATAAAAAATTATTCGGGTTTCGGGTTAGAACCAATATTTTATTCGGGTTTTGGTTAATTCGGGTGTTTTTAAAAAAAAATCATTCGGGTTATATGGGTTTTGGGTGTTTGATTTTTTAAGGGTTTTTTGGGGTATTACGGTTTCGAGTTAATTCAGGTGCAAAGCCCTGATTTTCAGTAACATAACTGATTCGTTATAGCAAAAAAATGTCAAGTAATGAGAATAATCATGAATTAGGAAATAATTATGTCAATCAATAATTTTTCATTCTATATGAATTCAAGATATTCAAATATTGACCTTTTTGTATTTTCTACTAGATTATTTTAAATAAAATCATTTGCCTTTTTATTATTATTCAAGGACAATAGTATTAATAATAATAATTTAATTGAAATAAATACAACAGTCAGCACTAGTTCTAACATTATTATTCAATAAGACCAGTTCAACCTGCGAACGCTGTAAACTGTTCTGACAAATTCAACAATCAGGTAATGACATTTTATTTTTAATAACTAAAGTTCTAATCTAATACATTTAATTTTTTTCTATGACCAATTTTTCTAATAAGATTTAAGTTCCAGTATAATATCTTACAAACAATGATCAAATATGGGTAAACCTAAGAAGTGTCATTTTTTTTTCTCGGTGTAATAAAACATATAAACCTGTATTTTTCAAAGCCTTCGATTGCTTAGAGTTGTTTTCAAATGTGATTAAATTAAGCAATTACAATCGTATGATTTTAATATTTTAAATCGTTACAGTAATACTATTTGAATTTTATTGAAAATCCAAAAATTCAAATACCATACATTTTTAATCAATTTCCACGATTGAAAAAAAAATCTTTTAAATTAAAAAATGCTTAAATTTGATTTCTTAATATTATAACAAACAATAGAGATAAACGTATTTCGAGTGCCAAATGTTCAGTGTTTATTATTAATAAATTAAATATTTTAGTCGGGTATCTAATCGTTTATTTTAATAATAAAATAAAAATGATTATTTTAAATATTTTATTTCAATTGCTATTCACTATTACATCTTTTTTTTTTTTACTGTATTAAATAGTTACTTATTTAAGATAAAAAAAAAATCTATTATCATATAAATTACAGCCTAACGATCGATCAAAATCCCAAATTCGACAGTGTATGACTTAAAAATTGACTTCCATTAAGTTTTAAATTTTTCTTGAGCTTCAACTACAATAGTAATTATCTTATAATAATGGTGATATTGGTTTTTTTGTGGTTTTTTGTTATTTTTTTACAATTGGTATTCTTATTTCTAAAATTATAATTAAAATTAACTAAATTTATTTGTATAAGTCTGTTTGTTTTAGGAAATTTATTATGTTATTTGTTGCTTCTAGTTGTGGTCCTAGGCTTTCATGAAGTTGGCCTGGTATGTTGTTTTCACTTCTTAGTATTTCACATTGGCGGCATTCGGTTAAAATATGTTTAACTGTGAGTTGGGTACCACATGTTTGACATGATGTAGGTTCCTCCTTGGCCATCAATAATCCGTGGGTCAATATTATGTGACCGATTCTAAATCTATTTATTATCTTTTCATATTTTATAATTTTATAGTTTAATGGCCACTTGTGAATGGTTCTCTTTATTTCACTGAGCTTATAGTTTTGGGTTTTCCATATTTTTCCCATTCTGAGAAGTGTATAATTTTATTTGGTTTTTAATGTCAGAGTACAGGTATGTAAGAGTTTTAATTTTTTCTGAGTTTGAATCAGTGAATTATTTTGTAGCTTAGTCTGATTTTTCGTTTCCAATTATATTACTGTGACCAGGCATCCATAAGAGTGCAATTGACGGGCTCTGTGAAATAACTAGACAGCACCATTTTATCATTTTTTTCAGGAAGCACATATTTAATGTTTAATATATACATAAGCAAAGAATAATAAAAAGAAAAATTATTTTATATACATAAAATAATGATAAAAACTGTGGTACCCTTAATGAAATTGATACATGAATATTTTTTATACTTTTAGCCACAAATAAGAAATTTTTCCTGGAGTTGTCTTGTTTATTGCTCGGAGTTAGTAAATCTTTTTTTTTATCATGTAAAAAGCTTACAAAGAATTAGTTTTTTTTCTTACTGTATTAATAATAATTATTATTATGTACTTATACTATCAAATAGCATACTTGAGTTTTAAGAAAAAAAACTAAACCTATGGAAAAACCAAGACAGCTCCGGAGTTGTCTGGTTTTTCGTCGGAAATCAAAAAACCAGGTAGCTCCAAAACAATTATAATTTTTAAACGGATAGTCCGATTTATCTCGTTTTTGCACAGAAAATCTGATAATAATTTTTTCTATTTGAAATCATGATAATACGAATTTCGCTAAAACTGGTTATTGCACGGAGCCCTTCAATTGAATTATTCTGTATACTAATTGTGTTTATTATTTTAATTAATATGTCAATAAGGTTAAAAATGTTTTGTAAACTAAATAATGTATTCAGCGAAGTCACTAAGAATTAAATAATTTTGGTCTTTTAAAATAGATATACACTGTAGGGTGGCACTTAAATTTTTTTTTTGTTTTTAACTTTCTCATGCATTAATTTTGTTCTATTTGCCTAAAAAATTATGTTGTTAAAATATTAAGTCATTTCATAAGTCATTTAATTTCATAAAAGGTAGCTCAATGAATTTAAAAATCTTTAAGTATGAAATAAATTATAAAAAAAAGCTATAGTCATGTTGTAAATAACAAATTTAATTATTTATACTTATTTATAACTATAATTTTATTAGTACAACAAAATCAATACATATTATTTTAAAAATTACAAGTTTTATTAATACATAAAAATTAATCACATTTTTAATAAAGTCAATTTTTTGGTTTCCGGATAATTTTGTTTGTGTTTTTTAACTACTTGAAGAAGATATTGTTGTTGATCTTCTTGATTAGTATGAGTGCCATTGAAATATGTCATCAATGCATCTATACCCGTTTCAGCAGCATCATTAACAACTTTAAGTTTTTTTTATTTTTCACAGCTATCAATATATTCAATATTATTTATCCAAGCATTTGGAGGCGTAGTTAAAAAGTCGGTTTTAATGTCAAGAGCCGTACATTTTATATGTATTATTTGTTACAAAGTCATGCAATTCACTAGTTAGAATACAATGTACTGGAAGCTTTATTCTTTGATCAGAATAATTAGTCCCAATTTAATCTAAAACTGTAACCATTTGGGTTTTAATATTATCTGGTACTCGAGAGTCAGAAAATGCTAATCCAATTAATGTATCATTAAGATACCACAAATGACTTAAAAATATTTTTAATGCTAGTTTTTAGATACCATTACTTGAATTTGTATACATAATAAGATCTTTTAAGAAATTTAAATCATTTAATGGTGTACCTGAAGCATCATTAGAAGTATACCATACCATGATGAATGAAAAGACGCATATGTGCGTCCATAGCACCACAGAGTTGCCTACGTTGGACGCATATATGCGTCCATAGCAGTGAAAGGGTTAAATATACTCTCATTATGAACAGAGTAAAATGTTCCAAGTTCAATAGTTCTGTTTCGTTAAGTTCAAATTGCGACCGAAAAAAACATTTTTATCCAATAAATTATTTAGCCATCCATCTAGCTTGATAACAAGCTCCTGGCATTCTCAAATAGGTACTTTATATAGTTTCGTACATTTGTATTATACTAAAAGATTAAATAGGGAGATTGTCGATATACTATCGATGAAATTATCATCGGGAAAAATGTATGACTGAAGTCTATATCTAGTAATATTATTGTGGAATTTGACGACGTGCGATGTGTCGGCGCGCGGTGGCGATAAGCACTAGGACGTTTTGTAAGCAATTACCAATTATATAATGTTATGTGTTGTGAATTAATAAGAAACTTTAATTTAGTAAATAATAAGTTTAATAATATTTATGTACATTTTTAGTGTCACTTTAAAATATAAGAAAGTATGCTCAAAAAAAGAGAAATAGCCTCTTTTCTTAAAGTTTCAACCCTTTTGAGCGACGTGAAGAATTTGACTTATCATGCTCAAAATTTACCAAAATTATTTATTAAATATATCGAACAGAATTAGTGGTTGAGAGCAACAAATATCAAATAAAAAAAATTGACCTACTCGTATATAGCTAAGTGCCACCCTAATACACTGTACCACTTTTAAAATGGCAGTAGATTCGGCAGTGAAAATGAAACATTGGTCATGCATTTTTGTTGTAAAAAACGTTGTGGTTTTTCGATGTAACCATGCTACTCCTTTTTTAGATTTGGATGCATTCGTGAAATCCTAACCTTTATAGTTTGGGTATTTTTCTTTAATTTCGTGTATATAATTTTTGAATACATGTTCGTTTATTAATTTATATTTTGATCAACATAAATCGGTGTTGATATCGATGCTCGGGATCCACGCTGTAATTTTATGATGTTGAATCTGAATTATATCGCTTAGATTTGGTTTATATTTTTTTTATCAATTTTTTAAAATGTTCTAAAAGAACTGTTTTTGTTATTGCACGCTACGGCTGCCCAGCGTATACCGAAATATATTAGTTCTTCGATTATGTAGAGGAGGTTCAAAGGAAATGGCGTATATAGACTCGATTGGACTTGATTAAAAAGACACCTTAAACAATACGTAAGCTTGTATTATGTATAATATATTAGTTTTAATGTAGATTTTATGGCTTATGATTATAATATCGATGACTAATCTAATTTTGAAAGAATAATTGATTTATATATTTTCATTAAAATTTGTGTGTCTGCTCCCCAAGATATGTGGGATAATATTTTGAGAATATTGAGTCTATTTGATATTTCAATTTTTATTTAATTTTTTTTTTTTTATATTTTATTTCAATTGCTATTCAGCTTAATATTTGTTTATTTATTTTTTGTATTAAATTGTAAGTTATTTAAGGTATTTGATTTAGAATAAAAAAATTCTATTATCATATAAATTAATTAAAAATATGATCAATTTTTAATTATGTATGAACGAAACAAAATAGGTTTAAACCCATTAAATGAACAATCTATACAATTCCATAGATTCCAAATGAATCAAGCAGTGTTACAAAAATAACAGAGAATTCATATTAGTATTATTAATCGTAAGGAATGTGTATGCAAGTGTTAAAACCTAGACACAGGTTTAAATATAAAATAGATAGAGTTCATAGATTATAAATGAATTCAATAGTTTAATAACTAATAATTTGTAATGAAATAAAATATTTTTTCACATAAAAGTTAACAAAATCATAAGTAACCATTTTTTTTTTTTTACAATAGACATATTCAGTAAAATGACTGAACCAAAAAACGAAGTAGTAATATCAGGCGTAGGAGCGATGTTTCCGGAATCTGATAACTTAGATGAGTTAAAGGAACTGCTGTTTAATAAAATTAACGGAGTAAAAGACAACCGATTTAAATCCGTTTCAAGTAATAAGGAAAACACATTATCGTAATTTTTTATAACTATTTTTTATAACTAATACGTATATTACTAAAGATGATATGATAAGATTAAATGGTTGCGGAAAATTGAAAAATTCTCATCATTTTGATGGAACATTCTTCAAGGCTCATCCAAAATTAATAAACAATATGGATACATTGACGAAGATTTTAATAGAGCGATCAGTTGAAGCAATTATTGATGCAGGTTTAAGTCCATCAGACATATACGGGACAAATACAGCGGTGATCACGTGCTCAAGTCATAGCGAAACAGAAACATTTGCAATGAATCGTCATCATCATTTTGGAATGTTGGGGGCCAGTAAAACAATGCAAGCAAATCGTGTCTCCTATATTCTTAATTTAAAAGGTAAAGGGTGTTAAAAATGATCATTATACTATTGACATTTTACTTAAACTTGCGTGACATCTATAGGTCCAAGTTTTTGTATGGAAGGTGGATTGGTAGCTAGCGTAAATGCATTAGAAAAGGCAAAGAAAATGATTCAAGATGGTATAGTATCCGCTGTTCTTGTTGGGGCAGCAAGTATAGTCTTTAGATCAGAAGTACATTATCAATATCAAGGATTGAATAAATTAAATAACGATAATCAAACCAAACCTTTCGACACTAATGGTAATTAAATTAATACAAATATATAATTATTTTATTATTTTTATTCATAAATAAATAATATTTATAGTTTATTAATAATTAATTGTTATATGCATTTTTTACAAGTAGGTTAAAACTTTATTTTACGTGTAGGTTTTTCAATATATATTATTTATTCTGTTTTATTAATTGTATACAAATTTTACTATTTCTCCTTTTATAACTGTATATAAAGATATAATTATTTTAATACACTGAATGCTCCTTAATTATTAGCTGATGGATATAACAGATCAGACGGTTGTGTTGTTGTGTTACTCCAAAAAGCGTCTGAAGCTAAGCGAAATTACGGTACATTATTGGGTGTAAAATCAAAAATGTATGGCGATAACGACAACTGTCTAACCGCATATTCAAGCCAACATTTCAAATCATTACTAGTGGATTGTTATAAGGAAGCTAATATTGATCCTACAACAATAGATTTCGTCGAAGCTTACGGTTCGGGAATAAAGGTAAAGTAAGAATAACAAATAAACTAACAGAAAATTCAAATGCAATATATTATTATTAAAGAAAGAAGATACGATGGAATTGAACGTATTGGAAGAAGTTTTTTGTACGGAACAAAGAAAGAAACCATTGAAAGTAGGATCCGTGAAGAGTAATGTTGGACACTGCGACGTAACTAGTATGTTTGTATCATTAGCCAAAGCTATTATTGCGTTTGAAAGCGGTTATATACCACCCAATATTAATTACAATACACCAAATCAAAATGTAAAGGCCTTAAAAAGTGCAAAAATACAAGTATGAATATATTATAATATATGACAATTTACTCACTTTATACAAAATTGACTTATTTCCAACAAAATGTCATACTAACAATAACTTTACTATTCAGGTAGTCACTGAAAAGACTCCACTTCATGGAGATATAATAGGAATCAGTACATTTTGTAACGTAAATGCATTCGGACATGTTATTCTTAAAAGACATAATAAAATTAAAAAAATTAATAGTGATTGTAATATACCCCGATTGTTACTTGTATCAGGACGAACTGAAGAAAACGTCAACACTGCTTTAAAAAAAGGTAGATCTAAATTAAAATAAATTATGATAATGAGTACATATTTCATAAAAGTGATGTATTTAAATATAAAACTAAAAATTTAAAATATTAGATAAATTGCAATGGAAACGATGAAGAATTTGTAGCGCTGACCAATAACGTGTTTACTAAAAATATAAATGGTCATTTCTACAGAAGTTTTTCTATTTATCCTTCTTTAGACGAGGAACGAATCAATGATGTTTGGGTATATTTCATTTTTATCAATATTTTAAAATACAATATTGAATTAAATTATAAATTTATTAGAAACATTATTCTTCTAGAACGTAACACTCCAAAAACGTCCTATTTGGTTTATATTCTCTGGAATGGGATCACAATGGCAAGGGATGGGCAAAGACCTTATGAATATTCCTATTTTCGCAAAAGCAGTAGAAAAATGTGACTCTGTACTTAAACCTCGAGGGATTGATATAAAGAATATTTTAACTAGTCAGGACTCAAAAATGTTCGACAATATTCTTAATTCGTTTGTTGGCATCGCAGCTGTTCAAGTTTGTATACACTTTAGTTAACACCACATTGATTAGATTCTGAATATTGAAAATAACAAATTAATATTTGGTTTTTTACAGATCGGATTATTTGATATACTGAATGCACTGGATGTGAAGCCTGACGGAATTATAGGGCATTCGGTGGGAGAATTGGGTTGTGCTTATGCTGATGGATGTTTCACGGCTGAAGAAATGATATTATCCGCTTATGCACGCGGTCGAGCTTCTCTCGAAACGGAGCTTATTCCTGGCATGATGGCTGCTATTGGTAATCTTAACACGAGATTGAAATCACTGCTATTCTCATTTTGAAATTATTTATTCAGGACTCGGATACGACCAAATTAAGGCCAAACTGCCATACGACGTTGACGTGGCATGTCGTAATAGTGATTCGAGTTGTACTATATCTGGTCCAGTGGACAGCGTAAACGAATTCGTATCAAAATTAAAATCCGAAGGAATTTTTGCGAAGGCCGTCAATGTTGCTGGAATAGCTTATCACAGTAGATACATTCAATCAGCCGGACCAATTTTGATGAAATATTTAAAAGATGTGTGTAGAACAATATTTCACTTAAATTAAATATTTGACAACGTTTAAATTGGTTTTTGTCTATAGATTATAAAAGAACCCAAATTGAGATCAGCGAAATGGATCAGTAGTTCGATACCGGAATCAAAATGGGAATCGGATCTTGCAAAATATTCATCTGCAGAATATCATACTAACAATCTTTTAAATAGTGTATTATTTGAAGACGCTCTTAAACACATACCAAATGATGCAATTACAATTGAAATTGCTCCACATGGTCTCCTTCAAGCAATCATAAAAGGTGCACTGCCAACTAAAGTGACAAGTATACCATTAACCAAAAGAGTTTTTGGCAATTCAATCAGATTTTTATTGTCAGCTATTGGAAAGTAAGCCGTTAATTAAACTTTACTGAATTAATTTAATTATATAATAGTTGTATTCATCTGAAAATGATAAATTTAAAAATAATTTAATACTGAATAGTTTTAAATATGACACTTTTTCCAAACATTTTATATTTCATAAAACTAAATACATTAATGTTATAAAAAAAATAATAAATCGTATCATCAGTATTTTATGGTTATACATAAATTGAAAATGTATATTGTATTCTAATCTCTTGTACATTTTCGAATAAAATTTTAATTATTTAATATCTGCATGTTTTTTAATTTGTAGAATGTATGTCAGCGGCGTTAATCCGAAAATCCAAGAGCTTTATCCAAAAATATCTTTCCCAGTAGCCCGAGGTACACCTACAATTCATTCCTTACCATTTTGGAATCATACTGAGCAATGGATACCTCTTGAATCATATAATTTAAAGGTTAGCTCAGAGAAGATATTTTTGCATTTAGTTTTTTTTATTGCATGAATCTATATTATTAATTCATATTAGTTATGTTTAATTGTACAAAATTTTAAAAATATGTATTTTGATACAATTAAGTGGATTAACCTTAAATTGTTTTATAGTCTTATATATTATATATATTAATATATTATAATTATCATGTACCCGATAAAATGCATTTAAAAGTTAAACTAATTATTTTAGAGTGACAGAGAAATAGGCGAAAAACATATTGATTTGTTATTAAATAATAACATCCATTTAATGGAATATCAAATCCATGGCCATCATATAATACCACTATCGTATATTTTGGTAATCATATTTATAAAGATTATTTTACTGTATTTTTCAAAATTATGACTTAATTATTTCAATTATTTTCTTCAATTCAGGTCGAAGTGTGGAAAATGTTTATCAAAATAAATGCCAAGGAATTTTCCGAGGAATCCGTTCAGTTCCGTAATTTGCGGTTCAAAAATAATTTCAAAATAAATAAATTTAGTAAACGATCTTATTATTAAATATTTACAAAAATTAATTCTGATTATAAATATATTTTTTTAAATTTTTAGAATGGTCCAAGAGTTATTTCATGATTCAAACGGGATCTGGTAACTTTCAATGTATAATTGACAATGAAATAATTTTAACTGGGCAAGTAGGATACTTAATCGACAATGATGATTTAATTTCAATGACTTCGATGACGTTGAATATAAACTCTGAAGATTTTCAAGGATCGTTACCAAGTGCTGAGTTATACGATACTTTGGAAAAAAATGGATTCAATTTTAAAAATGGCTACAAAAATATAGATAGTTGTGAAATTTATAAAAATAATATTCAGGGCTACATAAATTGGGAAAATGATTGGATTTATTTTTTGGATGGGCTAATGAAATTTCCAATGCTAGAAAATATTGAAAAATGTTCCACTGAAGCCCCAGTTTCTATAAGACAAATAAGTATTGTTCCAAAAATGGTTGAACATTCAACTGAAAAGCGTACGTTTAAATTAAAAAGTTTGATTTAATACAAAATTATGATTATTGTTACTATTATATATTATTATCAGTATTATTGTACTGAATATAAATGTTCTGTAGAAAACATGATTATATTAATGTTATATTTGTTGTTTTAGGTATACTATTCCATTATAATAAATTAACGAAAGAAATAATTGGGAACGGAATAAAAATATCAGATATTAGATACGCTCATATTTCATTACCCAAACCAAATTCCGATGTAGTCAAATTAGAAGAACAAAGATTTATTAATTCCGATGTTTCCAATTGTGAAGTAAATATTAATTACTACAACTATGAGAATTAGTGGCATTATATTTATCTGTACAAAAGGATTGATAAATAATCCATTGGTTTAACATAGATTTTAAGATTTGATTGAACTAATCCTAAGAACTATACAAAAACTTTTTATGTATACAAAGAAGATTTTTAAGCCAGAAAACATATTGAAAATAGGCCTTATGGTTTTATATCATAAGATTCAATTCCAATAAGCTAATATAAATTGTTCCCAATGATTTTTTGACGATTAAACAAAATAATTACTGCAATATTTTTATTTCAATTATAGAATATAGATAACTTCATTAGCGACGCTATGGACATAATAATGGAAGGTGACAAATTGGGTTTAAATACTACACATAGAAAACTTATTATTTGTACTCCATACCATTATAATGATGCTATCTCTAAAGACTGCATAAACGCGATCAGACATAATGTTGAAAACCAATCAATTGAAGTAAAATATTATTACATTTTAATTTAATTACCAATGAATTTATCGATATATTTATTTTGATATTAGAGTAAAACAATGAGCTGGGATAATGTGAATACTCCATCAGAGGATGATGAGTCCGGAATATTTATCTCAGTCACAAATAGTAATTACTTGCAAGATACAACTAAATCGTTAGCCAATAAAACATGTAGTTACATTATCGTATATTCGAGATATAAACTTCAAGACCTTAAAGAATGGAAAGCCATCATCCAACAGAAACATGATGATGGCAATTATTTAGTTTTAATGAAAAAGGTAAATAATTGTTGATGATTCTTTTAACACAGATGTTCTAATATTTTACATTATTCTGTTTTCAGAGGACTCTTTTAGATAGAAACTCCGTTTTTATTAAACATTCTAATGACGATAACGACTATGCAATTTGGAAAGCATTAACGAATACTAAGGGAACGGTTTACATTGTTTCAAATTTTGAGCCATTAGAAGGCGTTAAATCATTGATTATGAAATTCAAGACACAAAGACTCAGGTAAATAAGATTAAATAATTAGTATACACATAGGTATTCATGCATATATTTTTTTAGATTTTTGTTTATTTTGGACCCGAAGGCCCCAGATTTCGAATCAAATACATCTTTTTACACTGATCGTTTATCTATCGGTTTAATAGTCAATATTTATAAAGCTGGTAGTTGGGCTACATACAAAAGAATCGTTGTACAAAATGTAAAACCCATGAAAACAGTTGTTGAAAGTATCCTATTGGATAAATTAAAATATTTCAAGTGAGTGGAATTTATACATTTATATAATTTTATAATGATTTCTTTAAATATTAAATTATAATACTATTTCAGACCACATAATTTGGAAATTAAACATATTGGATTAAATTTCAACGATTTAGTAGTGGAAGATAATACAGAGGTAAACGAAAACTGAAAGTATAATTCATGAATCTTATTAATTTACATGTTCTGTATATTTAGAATAATTTGGGGCCATTGGAGTACTCTGGTGTAAATGAAAATGAAAAAAATGTTATGGGAATTATTAAGTTTAATCACAATTCTTCTGAGTTACATCACGATGCCGCCTTTTCATGGCCTGTCCCATTAACGTGGACATTAGAAGATGCCACTTCTGTTCCATTGTCTTACGCCCTGGTTCTTAGTCTACGAAAATAAATATGAAACTCTGTAATAATTCGATTTTATTTTTTCAGAGTTATTACATTTTTAACGTCATGTGTTCCCTCCAATCTCACCAATCGTTATTAGTGACCTCTGGATTACATCCCATTGGTCAAGCAGCAATTTCGATAGCCATAGCTGAAAAATGTGAAACATTTGTTATCGTAGACTCCAATCATCAAGCAGATCAACTATCTCATATATTTCCGGAGGTAATAAATTAAAATAGAAGTAAAAAGTATTTTAAGTAAACCTCAAATCAATTATTGTAGCTGCCACGTTCAAGAATAGTTATAAATACTAATAACAAGTTCGATATCAAGCTAAAATTGATGAAACCAAAAGGCTTTGATTTGATATTAAACTTTTTGAATGGTAATTCGTTACAATCTGCATTCGAACTGACACGCGGGTCAGGAAAATTCTTCCACTTATCTAATTCTGATATGAAAAATCAATCGGTTTTAAGTACGTATCTATCTAATTACAAATAAATATTAATAGAATTTAAAATTTTAATTTTATCCTTTTTTTTTTAATATCAATTTTAAGGGACACGAACTTTTTTGAAGAATATTGCGTTTTATGCAATCAGTTCAAAGCTGTTACTAAACGAGTGTGACAGTAAAAAGCGAATTGTACAACAAGCGTTCTTGAACGGCCTGAATAAAGGTGTTGTAAAACCGCTCCCTAGCCATATTATAACATCATTCAGTAGTAAGAACATATTCGACATGATAAGGTAATTATATTATACATCCCTGATCCATAATATTAGGAAGTACCATATTTTTGTGTTTTATTTAGGACATTCTCGACATCGGTGGTTCCAAAAAAAGTTATATTGACATTAAATTACGATTTCAAATACCCTAAATCATCTGAAAATATTGAAAGTAACACGCCTTATTTGTGTAAACCTGACCACGTCTACGTAATCATTGGTATATATTTTCCCTCGTCATTCTATTGTTTTTATATATATTATTGGTTTCTGTTTGCAGGTAACAAGTCGGATTGGTTAGATATCACGGAATGGTTAGTCAATCGGGGAGCTAAAAAAGTCGTAATTAGTGTCAGTAGATACGTAATTTCAACGACGACTTGTAGGAGGTACGTACTTTTTACAAAAAAAATTATCGTACGTATGCTGGCCGTTAGAGCAGTAATTTTTTGTCCTGTTTTAAATAGAATCGATAAGCTTATTTCTCAAAATATATCTGTACATATTGAGTCTGATTTTCGCTTTAAAACGAAAGAAGAAACACGAGATTGGCTAAATCATTTAGCACCATCTAACCGGTTGGGATCATTATTCATCGTCAATCAAGTAATGCTATAATATAACTGTACAAATTAAAATCCATTTCGATAAATGATAATTATTTTTGTATAGACCAACGTTAAAAAAATTGATAATTTGCGTTATGCCTTTGAAAACTATACAAAAGAAAAAACAGCCACTTCTTTCATATGCATATCCAGTAAAGGAGAACATGTTTGTGCCCAACTGAAATCAATTGGTCTGAACGCATTGAACATAAGCTGGAACGGAGCATCCTCACAACCGAAAGATACAAGATTTTTATTGCCTACATTAGATATAATACTAAATAAGTCATATAACACAGAGTCCTTCTCTTTTGTATGCTCTAATCCAGACATCGACAAATCAAAATGTAATTTTATTTTCTATAGAGATAATCGTAATCAAAATATATTTATTCACGTTTTTAAAAGCAATCAAAATAATAATTATTTTCAAAATATAGTCAAGTAAATCTAGATTTTCACCAAAAAAGGTCACAATGTTCACTATGTTAATGTTTTATTTCAATATTAAAATACTATTATTCTTTACTCAAATTTTATTTCATAATATTAAGTTTTATATGAACATACACAGAAAGTTTGCGATGATTAAATCAATTTAAAACTAACTAAATGTATATATTTTAGGTGGTCTTCAAGTCAACGATATCATTCCAAATTGGTTTCCTACATCCGCTGATGAATTACAGTTATTTAATGATAAAATAACAAAAGAAACAGGATTCGTTGAAGTCCGTACAAAAAGTCCGAGATTGTCAGAACTGAAATCTGTGCTACCGGTGTTCATCATCCCAGGGTTTAAACCAAAATTAATCCAAACATTGTACCAACACTTTATTTACCCAACCTTCGAAGCCCAGATACCAGACAATTTCGTTTCTATCAATGAACTCTCTGAGAATTTGGTAGACGTAAGTTAAAAACGCGTTACGTTGTTAATGATATAAAATTGTTTAACAAATATGTAATCTGAAATTAGCAACTCAAAAGAATCACGGATCGAGGGTATGTATCCATTATTGGTGTATCTTGGGGTGGAAACGTTGCCCTGAAAATGGCTCAAATATTAGAAGCGCAAGGCACAATGGTAACCTTGACATTATTTGAAGGTGACCCAGAAATTCTTACAGAATTAGCTAAAAGTTATCTATCAAATGATGGGCTTGCCAACAAACTAGAAAACTTATACAATTCATTTTCAAATGAGGTGAATTAAATATTTCTTTATATATTAATTTATGAGAATTAACCATTTGAACATTTTTTAATTTTAATTTTTTATTATTCTATTAAAATATTTGTATTAGTATACTGAACGTTGAAAATTATTTACAAGTTCTCTTCTCGTGGACTGATTTTAATAGTGTCATTTCAATAGGAATGTAGTACATTCATGATCAAAACTTTTAAGCTCGTCTTAAATAAATAAATAAAAACATTTTACTAATTATTATTTATTTTTCAGTACATTATAAGCTAATTTACAATATTATCGATGATTTAATTAGACTTGTACTATATTTCAAATCAATACTCCGATCTCAGTGTGTTATTTGTATATTAGAATAACCTATTTTTTTTTTTTTTTAATCTATGTATTTTAGATTTCAAAATATGATCATCAAATCCACAAAGAAATACAAGACATCTATTCTTATCAAAAATCGTTTGAAAACGTCATTAGTAGTGCTTTACGAACTATTCGCTTTAGATTGCAAGCATTATTAGATGCAAAACCATTAAACAATAAATTGCTAACAACAATTTTAATAATAAGACATGAACGTTTTTCTGATCTCGATACATCTGTCTTAAATGATGTAGGTCATAGTAATTCTATTGATAGAAGAAAATGTTCTAATTTTCTTTGTGTTATTTTCAGTATTTTATCAATCCGCCATCGATGTATATCATACCAAATAAAGATTATAAACAAGCGATAGCCGACAGGGAATTGATTAAAGCTGTTACAATGAACATGGTGAATTTACCTGCTACAGGAATAGAAATTCCATTGGCCGAGAAATACAGGAATTTCTATTTCTTTCTTCGTCGTCATTCGAAAATATAGTAATATATTTGAAGGATTATATTAAATTTAAATAAGTTTTTTTTTCAAGTAAAAATATTGATAAAATAGTTAAAGTGATTATGAAATTGTAAAATTGCTACGATTTGTTATTATATCCATATGTATATTTACTTAAAATAATAAAATAATTTTTAATAAAACACAAACGCTCACAAACTATTGTATTAAATTATTTTTAACTATTATTTGGGTATTATAATTCTGAGTGTAGTTTTGCCATTATTATTAAGTGTAACTATTAATAACCACCCTCTTTGTGGTGAACACCATGATCCAGCCCGTATGGTTCTAGATTCACTGACTAATTGCATACTTAAAAGTTATAATTCAGTTAAAGAAGAAAAGTTATACATGCAATAATACAGATAATTAAAGTTAATTATTTGAGCCTTAAAATTGGAGGGAACCCAAAATTGTCTCACCTCGGGCGATCCATAAACCCATATGAAACACCATAATCATCTATATAATTTCACCATCTGAGGTCAACAATAATTCGACATAAACAAATTAAATTACAAAAAACGAAATATAAATGTGATTAAATAATCCTCCAAAAAAAATAGATTACTAAAGTAAACAGTGTGAAGAATAAGTAAAAAAATGTGCATATTATATCATGCACAATACAATACACGTTCCGAGCTATTGACGGCCAACGCGATGTAATACTACGAACCAAGATATAATGGTAGAGTCTCTCGAGAAACGGATGAGATGACCGAATTACTGTCTCAATTCAATCAAAAACTACATTATCTCAAGTCATGTTCAATAAAGTCAGCTGAAGAAGTTATAAAAAATATAACTGCAATCGATGACAATTACCAGATGCATACACGTTAATTGCTCGATATGAAAACAATCCAATCCCTTATCCACTCGCTGTCGGACACTCCCAAAGTAAAGTAATTACTAATTAATTCTAATTATTTATTATAGGTGGAGAAATTTTGAGATTAAACTAAAGAACCAAATTCGAGACGACCTGACTAAAGAACAATACAGAGTTTTAAAACAAATTATATTTTTGAATATTTGTGTGTTTCTGTTAAATCCTTAGCTACATTAACCCTTGTTAAATTAGTATTATTCAATATATATAATTAAAGTGGATATTTTTTTATTACGACTAAAAACAATAACTGGACATTTATTTATATTCAGTGGCACTCAGCATTAGCAACAAACATTAGCAATTTTATAGAACTATCAAATACCTGGGATAAATTATTAATATAAATCAAAAAAAAGCAGAGGGCATGGGTACGAATCTCGGGGGTTCACCAGAACTTACCTTAAACTCATCAGAAGTATGATACGAAAGTGTATCCGATTTGAGGTGAATCCATTTTAATAATAATCTACTGATACTAAAAGATTTCAATTTGTATAATTGAATAGTATGATAATACTTCATATCTTAGAGATTCGATTAGCTTTATTGAATTCGTAGTTTTATGAAATCACCAGAAACACCACGTTCGAACATCGGTGGAGGTAACGGAATGTGATTTGTTTAAGCATCGATATAACTAGAGTTATTTATTGATGTAACATTCATTTACACAGAATTTTCATTTTATTTTCAAGTGTAGGGAGAACATTTAATCTGTTTGTACTATTGACAAATACGATTTTCAGTTTTTTTAATTTGTACAATTCGATTGAGCTGGTTGAAGACATGTTGCGATTAGAATTGTTTTTGATTAATTCAAAATCGATATCATGACATTCGTCGTCTAAAAAAAACACCATTTGATGTGTTTGATATACTTGAAACGCTCTGTGCACGGTTCGCATTATTATTAATCGACTTGGTTTTGTTTGTATTTGTTTTCTTACTGATATACATTACACTGCTCGTTGACGTTCTATTAAAATGTGATAAAGTTGGATCAAACGCCTCATGTAATCAAAATATGCAACACATTCAACATGACTGAGAGTTGTAACTTATGAGTTTAGGTTATTGAACCATCATCATCATCGTCATCATACCGTGTGAACACGACACTTCTTTTGCACATACAACAAATAATGGGAGTGTACATATTTTTGCAAATCACAGGTTATCACTTGAAACCCTACCCAAACAATCGTAATAATTATTTACTCGAAGAAATAATTTGCATTTATTTTTCCACTCTTTTATTACTCGTACTCATATTATTATTTACGTTGCCACGATACCGTCGACTGCGTTGAATATTGATCAGGTGTTCCCTTTGATAAATACACTTTTGAAGAGTACCAGCCGTTGAGGTGCATTATTTTCGTTCATTCATTAGTATCACAAGTCCTGTTCAGTTGTTATATTTGTGATTCATAATAATAATATAATGTGCCATATATAATTTAAGATAATGTTCCGTAGTCGATAGTATTAACGCGTTTGTTTATGTTTAATTTTTAAACAATCTCACATCTAATCGTAAAGCATTTGATTTTCTCTGCTAAATCGTACAAAAAAAAACGATATCGAATATTCTCCGGCCGTTTACGATTTTCGGTAATTCATATTACAATACATAATAATTAACGTGTGTTAACCATATCCATTACTTCTATTATTATAGAAAAATCAAATTGACCATATTAAAAATATATTGGAAATCCATTCCCTCCTCCCTTCCCCTCGATATGGATTTTAAACGTTTGAATACAATATTCAATTATATATAATTACACACGTTTATACCAATAATCCGTCCGCGAACATGATTTATTTGTTAAATTTTTAGACTTCTACTCAGCATCCATAACGTTTCATAATAATTGGTTTTCCAATTAAATTAATCGCTATCTTTGAAGTCCACATACAGTATCATATTATTATTAACCGTTTGCGATGTACATAACAAACATCCCAAATGTATGTTATTAAAATCGACTCAAAACCGTTCTACAACATTAAATTATGGAGGTTTTTTTTTACAAGTATCTCACATTATGGATAAACCTCTGGAAAAACAGCTCACGATGTGCGAAATGATACTAGACGATCGTACACGTGAAACCTGCAACACCGATCAACGACTATCGTGCACACGTTACGTGCGTCCATGCGATGAAACTGACGAAAAGTTGCGACGGGACAGCGGCGGCTATTACTCGTTCGACCAGTGGCAGAAACACAACGAGAAGTTGCTCAACCGATCGGTTCGAGGATATCATCAATCAAACGTGTGAGTGTATAGTGAAAAGTGTTCGTCCGTATTTATCATAATCATAACACGTACCGTTTTACCGATGACACGTTAAAATTTCCCCACAAAGTAGTATCCCCGAGCCAAAATCTCCAATTAAAAATAACCCCGTGGTTAAAAAAAAAAATCCTGCGTAAATATCAGTTCTAAACTGCAACCTTTTATTTTTAAAGTCGTGATTTAAACTACGCATAACGCGAGTTTCGATATTGTAAAATTAAAAACTATAGTTGTCTATGAGGCATTTATAAGCCTCATATTATAATGATAATATATAGCTTTATTTATATATTATGTTGAAATTTGTGAAAGGCTTTTTTTCTCGTTTTATTCGATGTTTATGGCGACAAATACAGTCGAATGGACTAAAGAAACTAGGTATTCCTCGAACATAGCATTTACCCACGAAGTGAAAAAGCTATCGGCCCTTGTATCCAGTGGCGTAGCGATGTTTAATATATAATTTGATCGATTTCAATATGAATTTTTAAGTAAAATTTGGGATATTTTATCGTGGAATCGTTTTGTTATGAATTTGTGTTTAAAACCGAAAAACTTGCGTGAAAATGTCCAGGGTCGAGTACAACGTGCAGCGCGCGATCAATACGTTGTCCGCGTCGGTGGACAAATACGCGTTGGACAGTACCAACAAAATCGCAGGGACAGCTAGGCGCATAGACGCGTGGAGGCTGGACGTGCTTCAGGCGTTGGAGAGCGTACGAGACGAAATCGCTTTGCTGTTGTCGAGCAAACAAAAACTTCAGAAGGCGCAGACGGCCTTGGGCGTGATACGTTCCATATCCGTCGAGTGCCTAGAACGTCGGTCGTTCAGATTAGCCGTGGACCTCACGTTGGACCCGGGACAAGTGGAACTCGTGAAAGTACGTATTACCACCGTTCGTTTACTGCACAGTCTTGTCGCGCTGTCTTGTTTTGTCAGCCAGTCGCGTGGCCAGGCTTAGGAAGATGTCCGAATTATAACATATTTCAATGCAAATTGTGGCGTGTAGGGTGCACATCCATCGTGAAACCATGAAACGAAATTAACTATTGCGCGAACTATTTTCTAATATTCAGAACAAAATAGTCTGCCATATCATAAATAATAACATTATCAAGTACGAAATATCCAATAACACATTTTGTACTTGAACCTAGAAGCATTTGGTAGGCAATAGATTTTTCGTTTAAGTTCGGTGATACGCAAAGTAGAAGGTAACACCCACAACATCTCCTTCGGCTACGTACTAGATCATACACGTTATAATGCGAAGAGGGACAAATGGACGTAGCCGTTTGGACATGAGGACAAATGGACATCAAAAAAAAACTATATATAAATATATATTTATAAGTTATAAAACCATTGATATTTTATGTTCATAATATAACTAATGGTATCGTATCATAATATCAAACCTTATCGAATTTTATCGTTTTAGCAATAGGTACCTTTTATATCAATATATATAATTTATTAGTTTTTACAACTTGTAATAATTATCACACTTTATCGAAACACGGTGATACACGAGACACAACAATACACATCTATAACCATGTTAGTCGTGTACAAATGGCATTCAAGTGTACATGTAAAATGTCATTAATTAATTCAAATCGCGATGGTGAAGTTTTTTTTGAATGAATATTTTTGACATTAAAATTTACATATTATAATAAATATAAATAACTTATTTATTTTATTTACTGATCTATATATATTTTTTTTTAACGTCCATTTGTCCCCACATCCAAATGGCTACGTCCATTTGTCGTAGATCGGTTATATTGACATATGGTATGCGATCCTGTATAGGAAAAGGAACTGATCGACGAAATTGACGATCTGTTCTGTCGCACATTGTGCCAGCTTAAGGATCAATTGAACAGCAATAAAACTATAAAGTATCGACTCGAAGAGAACTGGAGCAATAAGAATCAGTCCATGAAAATAGACACTATGAATTTAAGTCTAAATATTCAGTCGCCGATTATAATGTCACACACCAACGTGATAGAAGATTCAGAGAAGTATGCATAATGTTATGTCCAATGTCGCAGGAGAATAGTCAAATCAGAAATGTCACTAAATGCTTATTGGCTAAAATTAAAAGTTACGCCTAGGTATTAGAGCATAAGCTATTGAAAAAAAATATAACATTTTTTTCAATTATTTAAAACTGTACCATTAATTAATATAAACGCTTCGAATGCAACGTTAAGATCTACGTCTACTTTTTATATACCTATTTGCAATCGTAACTACTGTCTTTTCATACCGGTAAGCCAAATGTTAACTTTAGGTAATAAACTTAAGAATTTTGATTTTTTTTCTTTCATTTTCTCTCGGAGTTCCCATGCGGACAGTAATAGCGCAAAGAAATTTAATAATTTGACTATTTGCATAAGCGATTAATAAAACGTCTGATTTTACTATATTCCTATGACATAATACTACATTAACTTTTGTAATTACTTAGTTGACAAGATACGTATAAACTTGCATTGTATATGTGTATTTGATTTTTACATTGTTTTACGGTAGCGCCTGCTTGTCAGTGCCAGAATGGGAAATGGCTGTCAAAAATTTATACGAAGAAGCTAAACGAACTATGAACGACTCGACGTTATTGAGATCCATAGTAGACGATGCCGTGCTCAAAAAAAGCGCAAAGAGATTAAGGGATCAAGCTGATGCAGTAGACATAGCCTTGGCGCGGTTCATATCTGATACACAACACGTTGAACAAGCTCTAGGAAATGACTTGAAACAAGTAATTAAATACATTTCATTTAAATATAGTATGTTCACTATGATCAAAGATAATTTAGATGTGTACATACAGTGCTCGAGTTGGGAAAAATTAACTTAATTTTTTAATTTCGTAGAGGAGCTCAGTCCAACGATTTGAAAACTGCGTTCCACGTGCGCAATTATTTGACACAGACCCGTGGGAGGTTTCGTCCCTCTTCCTCCCCTCCACCAACCTTAAATATATTTTGAATACCACTTTTAGCTAAACAAATATTTAAATTCCAAATATAATATATTTTGATAGCAACACCAACATCTTATATGTTATATGTAATATCCTACAATAGAAAATAAAAATAAAATAATAATTAACATAGGTAATTGTAAGCGATCAGGCAGTCTCATGAATCGAATGATATAACCATATATTTGGTTTTTGTTTTTATTTATTTTTACTCTTTAATGCGGGCCACGGCCTTAGAAGATTAGTCTAAGGTCGTGGTAAAGGCATTTATTTTTTTCCGAAATGACAATATCGTCGATCGTCAATATTAATAACAAACCGTACAATGTATAAAGTATGATCACCAAATTCACAGACATTACTATTTATATTTTTTCAGAAATGACGACAGTGTCCCTTATCATAACCACCATATAATCTTTAATTATAAAAATAGTTTAGATATTATAATTCGTAAAATTCATTTTCCAATTGACGTAAATTGAAATTCACATAAAAATTATTTTGGACATCAATTAGGATGAACGTGGCGTCCCCCGTCCCGGTAAAAAAATATAGTCGGGATACGCAAAAAAAAAAAAAAAGGGGGGAGGGGCACCCCCCCCCCCCCCCCCCCCCCCCCCCCCAATGCGAGCACTGTGTATGGATTTGGTTACCATAATACTTCTATGAATATTTAACGGTCATCCCAACGACAATTCACGGCACAAAACGGATAGTTTATCGTGTTACGCTTTAACAATCTAAATGCAATTTATGAATATAAAATTATAACTTTTTATAAGAAGGAATTATTTTGAGCAAAAATCTGTATTTCTGTCCTTCCTCGTTGTTGCCAATCCTTATAAAAAAATTATGAAGTACATAAATCTTAGATTCTATGATATAATCATAGAATATATACTATTTATTAATTATGATTTATGTATATTTTGTATGATGAATATTTTCAATTGAGAGTTTATTGGATATTATATAATAGAAATAATCATTTCTAGTTCCTAAAATGTTTTATTCGAAATCTAAATTAAAAATTAATAATTATTATATCTTAATATATAATTATCATAAATGCTTAAAACAAAACGCAAAAATCGTTAAATCACTATAGAATTATAAAATGAATAATAATTATCGTATAACAAAAACGAAGCATAAAATCGTTTAATTTAATATTTAATCAAAACGATTAAAGAATACGTCATTTTCATAACATTGTATGAACTCCGCAAATTTATAGTTAAGATGGGATGTGACTAGAACATTGAATAGTGGTGAATAATAATAAGTATAATTTTATTTTTAGCCCTATGACGACTTAATTATTAATCGCATTATTATATGATATTAGTTAAGTATAAACTACTAGTAATATACTAGTATATACTAGTAATATACGCCTCCAATGTAGTTAATTGCGAGTGCAATGTCCTAATAACCATATTTTAATTTAAGAAAACATGTTCTTTGTTGTGTTATCGGTGACTTATTGTTGTTGTACAATCGACTGTGTTCTTCGCAAACAGGTTGTCCAACGTCTAGGCGATTCCGAGAATTTAATCGGTGGTCTTCTGCGTGTTATAACGAATCTAGAAAAGGCAAAAATGACCGCCGAGACGAGATTGTATAACCGATTGAAACGTCCGGAAGATGAAAACTTCAAGGACAGCGCACAATCGAGGTAACCGACGACGACCTTTTGCTCGAAAACCATAATAACATTATTATAAAAGTACACGCTAGCAAATAGTATTGTTTTAGCATTCTCTCGGAAGTCAAAAGTCTCCAAGAACAATTGGACACGTTGAACTACCAGTTGCACTGTGCCAGAACTGGTCACTTGGGCTTGAAAGAGGCTCGTTCGCAACTCGAGGATGAGGTTCGCGTCAAAAGAAAAACTCTCTGGACCGATACCATTCGATGTCAAAAAGTTCGGGCTTTTTATCCGTCCGTAAGCGCACTGATTGGCCACTAGAACACCGGAGGGTTCAAAGGCCTCACGCAACTCGGTTATCATTCGATTATAACTCACTTTTTGAACAGGAAACCGGTCACCTGTTCAACGGTCATGTGCTTGAAAGTCATTTGTGTACAGAAATATTTGTCTTGAAAATAATGTGCTCGAAAAATGTATTTGTTCAAAATTAATAACTTCGAAAATATATTTTTGACCATTGATTAGATACGAATGTACGGTACAGACACCCACGATGTATGCGTTTAAAGATCCTTGAGATGATTTAACAGTCTAGATTAGAACAATGACGGTTTCGTGGTAAAAAAAAGTTTTAGATCGAAAAAAGAACACACGACAGTCCTATATTCTAATATTTATTTTGACATATTTATACTAAATTACTTTACATATTAGATACCAAGGCATACAGGAATCGCGGAAAATTAATTCACCCACAAGCTAGTAAGATCCTCGATATCCCTCAGATGCGCCCCCCTCCCTTGAGTAAGAAAATTTCATGGACTGACTTTATCCTCGACCTTAGAATTTGTATAACCAATCTATGGCTTAAAGTCTGAGAATGAATCACTCCCACCTCACTTTACCAATTGGTACAGAATTATATCTCCGACTATCCCACCACTTCCCTGGGTTCACAACTTCAATATCTCTAGGAAAAATATAATATCGTTCTCCTGTATCCGCTTTGACCACATATTACTTCCTTATCATTCCTTTAAACTTCCATTGAAAGTCCATTGAACTTCACACATTTCACAATGATCCCATGGCTTATGATATTGACCAGCTATCTTCATTTGCTCTAGTCATATCACCCTAATATGACCATCTATTTTCACTTTTCAATTTATCCGACATTCCTTTTGATACACAAAATATTTATTTACATCAACAAACAAATATCATACTCAATATACTTAATATTCTCAATTTATTATCTGTTTTAAGTTATACAGAATTTTTAATTTATCTGTCTTTCTGTAAGTAACTTATAATTTTTATATTGTACTTCTTTTGTTTCTCGTTTCGTAATTGTCGAAACTATACTCGTATGTTTAAACAAAGTTTAAAAAAGTGTACAAATACCTCTTAGTTATTATTAAAATCAACATAATAAACATTATAAAATATTTTCTTGGTAATCAAAAAGTGGAAAAATGTAGACATCACAGAGTCCAAAACTGTTACCACCTACAAATTCACAACCTAACATTATAAATATTCTTTTAATTTATTTTTAATTAGTAGTAATTTCATTATAATAATAATATGACCCAAAGTAATGAAATCTTTTGAAAAAAAAAACAAAATAACTCATTCATTGAACAATGGAAATATATTAATAATTTAAAAAAAAATATCTTTTTGATCACGTAACCATTTCGAATAAATAATTTTTTGAACACATTATACGTGTTCTTCAAACGAAAATTGTCTTACACGTGACTTTCGAACAAGTGACCAATGCCCATTAAAATACATGGAAGTTATTTTCATATACAGATGTAACTGAAATTGTTAATGACTTTAATATGGTTCCAGGCCAAAAGTTGTACGATAGAAATCAAATCTTATCTTATACAATGAGCCAGATTTAGATATTATCAAGAGCAGGAAAAATATGAATAATTCTTCTTTCTTAAAATCAACTACAATTATTTCAGAAAAATGAAACTGAAAAAATCTTTGGACACTTATTTCTACACGTATTTTTGTACACAACATTATTGATAAACTTTATATTATATAACTTTATATTGATTTGATTTAGAATTAAAATTATAATAATAACTATAATTCTTTTTTCAATTAAAACTGTATACAATTTTTCCAAAAGCTGTTATTATAGAAGTAATTTTTTGGTATTTTTGATCAAAATATTGACTTATATATAAGTATCTCTTTTCTTTTACGGTGGAATCAAACATGCGTATTAATTATCTTATTCACTTTTTTTCATTGTTGTAAGATGAGATTTTGGAATAATTTTTACTAGTTGAAATCGAATACATTATATACTTGTACATGTACTTATAAAAATCAATTGGTACGCGTTCGTCAAAAAAACGAAATGCATACTTGGCCGTCGTACACATGATTATTAATATTTTATTTTGCTGATAGATCGAAGAGGCACTATATTTATAATTTAAAAGTTTTAAATGTTATATATTATATTATGAGGTCATTATTTTAATAAACCCTGGAATGCTGGTATTCCAAAAAATAAAAATAAATTATAGAGTTCCGTTGGACGAATGGAATTCTGGCACGTTAGAGGTATTTTATGCACGGATCGCAATGGCCGAGAGGTCACGAGTACTTATATTTATTACTTTATATATGACACAAACATACATACACATACAAATTCAGGAATAATATTGATGTTGTTTATACCTGCCAAAATTGGTTCATAATATGATATATGGTATAGGTATATGATCATATATTATGTATTATGTGTAGATATATAAAGGGGGGAAAATTTAACTTCTTTTTTAATGAATAGTGATAATTATAAGCTATTATAAATTTTATATTTTTATTGATAAGTATTTTTAGAATTTTCTTTGGGTTAAAAAAAAATAATAATAATAATAATAACTTAATATCAAATTTTTGCGCACAGCACGATTTTGATTTTAAGTCATGAAATGTATTCTGATAAATACAATTTGACGAATACCAATTGTCATTTACGTATAAAGCATTTTTATAAATATTTAACACAACACAATTCATCAGTTTGGTCGAAAAAACATTCTTGTGATTCCACTTTTATTATTGTTTTATTCAGGAAATTAATTCCAAAAATATAATTCGAATATATTATAGTCAAGCATTAATTATTTATGAGGAATTCATTTTTACTATCTGATCGTTACAAAATATTTAATCCATACGACAGAAAGTTTTAAACGTTAAAAATAAAAATATTAGAAAATAAAATGTTTGCTCTGCATTGACTATGTTTTTTCTTTTTTTCTTGAACATATGTACATTTGAATAAAAATTTTAAAAAAAATATCAGTTATAAAAAGAACGATGCATTACCGTCGGTGTAAGGATATGTTTTTTTATTGATACGACGATGGTACGTCGAGGTAATAACTCTTCCAGTTCATTTGAGCTACTTTGATACTCAACCGTTACATTGTTTTCGCAGAGTGCGTTATTATTATGATATGTAAAACGAGAAGGACACCGGTTTTCGTTTATAGGTCATCTTTAAAGGCTTATTATACGTTGAATTCGCGTTAGGTGTATACGTTTAATCGGACATTTCGATGTTTAATTTTTTTTTCCCCCGAGCTATTGTAACGGACGATTGTGCGTGAAATGTCCGCCAGACACGGAAACGAAAAACCGGCGGCTATCGAAAAAAAAAATATGATAAAAAGGAAACGCGGCGAGGCGCGTGCAGTCGTGAACCTTGTATTCATTTGCACGAACGGCCGCCGCGACGACCTTCAACTTGGACTCCCGCCGACGCACGCGGGTGACATCGCCCGGACGGTCGTGCTATTATTTTCACGTCCATTGGGGTAGGCCTTTCACCTACATTAACATGTTTAACAAATACGCGTCGTCGTATAGAGAAAGAGAGAGAGAAATATAATTTATTTTTATTAATATTACTATTGGTGTATACACACGTGCACGAGCATTGTGTACGTATTTGCATACGCGATCACAACGGGATCGACTGTTTACCGCGAAACCGGGTGACGAGCGAAAAACAAATTTCAAACACGCCCAGCGATAAATTACGTCCTCGAGCGGAGCTACTACGGGTTTTTGTTTTTATGCGTTTTTATTTTTTCGTACTTGGTCCGCCCGCGGACCGAAATCCGCGAACAACAATGGTTGTCGTTTCGGAGACGAAACAGACGATGAGCACGATTAATCATTCGCGCGCGTGCTCAAACACGTAAAACACGAAGAATGTACAATATTAGCATACGGTTTACATACGGTTAGCGTGGTTTATACGGTACCCGATGTTATATTAATGTTATTACTAATACGGCAGGTGACGCGTGTAGGCGCTATCGGTTGAGATCGTTCACCGTACGTAACGGCGAGATCGGCGGACGAACACGGGTTAATCGAACGCGATGTATTGCGATTTACAACAGTAACGTGTAGGCGCAGGCACATCATATAATGTTCGAAAACACACTTCGAAACCAAAAACGGTGCGGGTATAGGTACTGCGGTGGCGCGGCCCGTCGCCGATTTATTGTTCGTATAAAGTGAAAAACGAGAAAATTACACCGAGTTGGATATAAACTGCCTAAAATTAATTAAATACCCATTACGGTATAAATGGGGTAATGTTGCAGACCGAGATCACTCCTTTGGAGTATTTGCAAATATGAAATTTGCACCCATTACCATTAATCGGTACAGGTCTGTGTTACGATCAAACCGTAGATCATTTATCTTTGAAAATTTGAACATTGTGTATAACATGTCTATGATACTTCATCGGATGGTAAACTTATTGCTTTCAAGATCAAGATAAAAAAAGGTTAAATTTCATAATAATTTCAATTCAAGTGTCTTAATTTTCTTATTTTTCCTTTTTTTCATTTAAAAGCTTTTTTTTTTTTTTATAATATTTTTTATATTCTATATTATCATTTTTGTTTCACATATAAATCGATATATGTTTTCAATATAATTTATATTTGTCGTTTTTTTTAACATTTTCATACGACGCATAACGGTGAGTGAGTTGCTACGACATTGGTCGGCAACAGCAATGTGTCTCCGTGTGTGACCGGCTAGCAACGTAGTTGCTCTGTAATCATTGCGCGCAAATGTCTGTTTTTTCGTGTTTTCTTTATAATTATCAATTGTTCTTATAATTAAGAGTCATGAGGCACTGATATCATAAGTCTTTTTTTCATGGTGGCACTGAGACATCTTTATCATCATTATGGTATCCGGTGGCCGTAGTTTTCGTCGTATGATGCACAATTAATCTTTCGTATACCTATTGCCTTTTTTCATTATTTGCACCTCGAATTCGTTCACGTGTATTATTATTACTACAGCCATTTTTTGTTTAAACCACATTTTTCTTAATTTTGATGTTTAATAAGTGTTATTTTACAGAACTTCATTGCCTTACATTTATTCGTTACTATGTTTTAGGGTGTTCACTTACCAGCATCAATTATGATTTAATGTGATTTTGGTCCTACGCTGCAAACTTGTATCTTCCTTCGTGACTATGGTTCAGTGGTTGCATGCACGCAGGAGCTGTGTCTTTATTGTATTAAATTCATTGTATTGCTCACATCCTTGGTACATGGGATGAAATCCGCCATCTACAACATAGTCACATGTGAGTATTTGTCGGTTTTAAGTGTCAAATTTATGTTCCGTCTGATTGATTTAATGACATTAATCATTCAAAAGTTAAGGCACCAATTAGTAAGAAAACTAAGGTAATAAGTAATATTTTATTTAATGTAATTTGTCCGATCTATAAATAATAATAATAATAATATTATAATAGAAATAAATAAATGGGCGTGACAAAAAAAAAAAAAAAATACAAAAAAACCTGACTGAGAATCGAACCGAAGCTTCTCTCGAATTTCAATCGATCACATAAAGACGGACTATTTTGAGGAAACTTGCGTGAAACAGAAAAAGATGACATGCCTTTTGTCCAACGGTTCGATTCGTTCGTAGGCTTTTCGTAGTATTTTACTGTACCCATATACATTCCGCTCCACTTTACTAGCTATTTAATTCGACACGTCGCCTATGTTATACGCGCCCGAACGAGTCAACTTGGACGCACAGGTATTTAACAGTTATTACTATTATTTAAAGTACAGTTTTGAGATAAAAAAAATAAAAAAATAAAAATAGATAAGTATCTTTATTTTATTTAAATAAAAATCTAAACGTTATCTATTTATCTATCTCAGAAATATTTAGATATTTATTAACCTGGACATTTTTTTTTTTTACAATATTTAATCAAATCGTCGAACGCCGGGGTCCGTAATCACTTAAGAATCAATACAACAAAATGGTATAAAAATTACCTCACACACGAACTCTAAGTCAATACTTACGATGAATTTCACAAGTCTATAGTGCTGGACGACGACAATGAATTAAACCACGTTATTCACAATCGCCGCTGAAATAAGGGGAACTATATAATAATATACAAAATGGCAATAAACGCTTACCAAAAGACCGGCACAAGACAAAAGCGAACGAAAACGTGGTTTTATA